TGGCAAGACATTTTGAATTGTACGAACAAAGACTTGGGGCTCCGCCCATCTGACAGGAGCAAGGAGGGGCTTAAGCGATTGCTAGTTGCAATCCACTCCCTTGCCTCAGCTACTGGGATAAGCACACAAAGGGACCAAGACGACAACCTATGGCACTGGGTGAAAGTTCTTTGGGCACTGGAAGCAAAGGTGATCAGCTGGTCGGAGAAAGAGTACAAACAAAAGAACTATGGTCCAGGGAGAAATTTTTTCTTGAATAAACTAGATCCATACCTTTTTACGTACCTACACTGTGTGACTTTCTTAACATGCTATCGTTGTGCTCCTGGCTCTCATCGTAGAGAGAGCGTACTAGTGCATTGATGTAGATACTGTTGGACACGATAGACGGTGATTGATATTGCTATTGGGGTGTATTTATGGGGGTCTGAAGCAGCTGTGAGTAGATGATGAATGATTGATCTTGGGCTGAATATTCGGCGATGACCGTTGGCCTTCGATCGCTCTAATACATCTGCTCAGGACTTGGCAGTCCAGTCAATCACGTTACGTCCCCTCTTCTTCTATTTAGTCGACTCTGTTGTAACGTCTCATCTTGGTCTGTTTTCACCTCCCTCTTCTTGATGAATGGCTGCTGGCACCAAACAAGGTAGCCAAAGAAAAATCGCCATCTAACCCTCAATTGCAAATCGGGCTGCAGGATTCTCTCCAACGTCCAGGTTGCTGGCGAGCGGCTTCAAGTGTCTGACAGTTGCGTCCAGGTCCAAAGTTTGACTAGGTGCTTCGCGGTACAACGGTCAGAACGGGAGGATCAGTCCTCATCTTAGTCGTTGTACACACGTATTTTGGGGGGGTAAGGGGGTTGCTATATCTGGTCCTTCGTCTTTGGGGCTTCGTGTTCCTCCTACTCTGCCAGTCATGACTTGCACTGCATGCTGCGACATGGAGTAGTTTGTCAATGGCGGCTTTTTGTTGGGGCAACTTGTACTATGGTCTGCTGCGACAGATCGTCGTAACTTTTGGGTCTGGGGCTTGGGTCAACTTGTTTGGGGCTATCTAGGGGCTATCGTGGGTCATCTTTGGGTCAGCGTTGGGTCGTTCAAGGTGTATACTGTCTGTAGGCTTGGTTTGTTTTGGGTCTATTCTTTTGTTCTTGTTAGCTGTGTTTATCATTTGTGTCGCGCTTGTTTGTGTGCTCTACCTGGTGGTGTTGACTTGGGCGTGATGTTGGCAACTTTTAGTTTCATCTGTGTTGCCGCCTCTCTCACTTTTTCCCACACCACGTCCGGTATTTTGTAATCTCGTTCAAAGTCGAATGGTCCGTATACGCCTTCTTTAACGATGTTGATCTCTTTCTGGTACCAGGCTTTGTGTGGGCTCTTGTTTAGCACCTGGTCTACTTTGCTGGGTCTGATGGGTACTGTTGGGCCGTATGTTGTCTCGTCGGTGAATTCTTTTATTAGGGGCCAAAAGGGGCTCGTCATTGGGGAGCCTTGCTTTGTGGTGGTGGGTTTTGGTATGTACCACTTGCAGTGATACTGTCCTTTTGTTCTTGCTAGTTTCTCGTTGGTCTCCTCCATGTCGATTTGTGTGTAGTATTATCGTTGATGGGATCTTGTGCATTCTGAATACTGATTCTTTGATTGGGGTCGATCCTCGCTTCTTTAGCATGGTGCTTGTCCCTGGGATCTTTTGTAGTCTGTACGAGTCTTCTGACGCTTTCTCAATGACTCTATAGGGTCCTTTTGTTCTTAGCACCAGCTTTGCTGGTATTCCTGCAGAGGCGTTTGATTGTACTTGTTTTTGCACCATGACAATGTCTCCAATTTCAAATTTCCGTCGCGTTCTGGTTTGATTCTTGAGCATTTGATGGGGCTCCCTTCGTTCCTCATTGAGAAGTTTAAGCAGTTCTTTTTGTGCTCTAATGTGTTCTATCCTGGCGTTTGCTGGTGTCGTGCCCTGTTTTTCTGACAGGCTTCCGATATTGACAATGCCGCTGCTGCATTGTCTAGTGGGAATTTGAAGTGTTGTGCCACTGCTGCGAATGCTCGTTGGATATCCGTGCCATCTACTGGGGCTGCGTTCCATTCTTCGTATGTGTTCATGTCGGCTGCTCCGATTTGTTGCACTTTGTTGAGGTATTTGTGGAATCTTTCACATAGTATTCCGTCGTGATTTTCCGGACTGACTGGCTGTGTGGTATGCGATTCCAATCGTGTCGCATAGGGCCGTGAATTGTTCTTTGTTTTTGCTGCCTTTGTCAATGAGGATCAATCGTGGCAGGCCTCTGACGGTGAAGAATTGCGAGAATGCTATTCTGGCCATGTTCTCCGAGTCCATGGAGCTGATGAATGCAACTGTGGCGCAACCAGTCATGTTGCAAACGTAAGTGACTACTCCTTTGTTAGTGAGTGTCTTCCTCAAAGTTGTGGACAGTTTGGTAGCGTTCTTTGTTGATCCTGGCGACCAAACGTCCATGCAACATACGTCAAATGGTTCTTCTATTGGGGTCCGTTGTAGAATCTTTTGGTTTTTTTGGCTCGACGCGTTGGCTGCATTGCAATGTCCGCATCCTAGGACTGGATCTCTGATATCCTTTGCCATCCCGGGCCACCAAAACCTTGCGGCTATCCTGTAATACGTCTTTGTGGAACCCTATATGTCCTGCCATCGGTGATGCGTGGTATGCTGCTATGATTGTTGCTCTCAATCTTGGTGGGACGACTGCTCGTCGTAGTTGACGCATTGGTGCCGACTTCGGTTCTTTTAATTGGTATAGGATGCCGTTTTCGATCTCTAGTTTATCTCTGTTGAGTTCTGAGGCATACGTTGGGTTTGTGAGCTCTACCTTTTTGTTGTTGCAGATTGCCTTGATGATGTGGCTGATGTCTTGGTCTCCGCTGCATTTCTCTTGCCAGTCTTCTCCTGTTGGGATTGGTAGCGTTGTGAATGGGTCGATGGATCTGCTGACTATCGCTGTTAGGTGTTTCTTAGCATGTTTTGGTCTTGCGTACATTGTCAAGAATTTGTGTTCTGTTTTGTCCGATAGGTGTTGTCGCTGAATGTTTCTGCACATGCTGTACGTGAACACTTGCTGCCACACCTGTTGTGGTGCTATGCTCTTCATTGTTTCTTTTGTCTCTCTCCAACTGAGTTTCTCCTCAAACAACAGTTTTCTGCTGTCCTCTTTTGTGAAACCAAACAGGCTGAGGGCTTCCCAAGGTCTGATCGTTTGGACCGGTGATGTTACCTCTGCGTCATTGGTTGCGATTGCTATTGTGCCTTGCGCTGAGATCATGGGTGTTGTGTGGAAGCTGGGGGAGATTTCGGTGGTATCGTAGATCTCATGTTCTTGTGTGTGTCCTTGTGAGTTGACCGTGTGGACTCTGTTTTGTCCTAGCCTTGCCACGTTGAAATATCCCGTGTAGCTTTCGTTTGGTGCGTCCATAGCGTTTTCGATTGTTCCTGGCTGTGCGTATGGATCTTCATCGACTAAACTTCTGCTCCATGCCTCCGTCACTCTTCTCCCGGCTGTGAGTATGATGGTGTGTTTGGTGTCTATGTCTGCTTGTGCTGTGCTGCCTCTGGTTGTGCGTGTTGCAGTTTGTAGGTCGGTTCTGTCTCTAGTTTCTCTTTTGATGTATTGTTCCCATTCGTCGATGATCTTGTCGGTTGGCTTTCCTGTCCAAATGAGTATGCATTGTGTTGCTCCCTGTGTCGTTGCTTTTCTGATGATGGTGCAAAGGGCCTCCGAGTTTGTTGATTTGTATGTTGGTTACAATCAACCATTCTACTGGCGGTTGTGCTGTGTTGTTGACCAGCCTTTTGGCAAACGTTTCGATGTTTGGTATGTCGTGTTGTAGCTGCCAATATTCCTCCTCGCTGGTGCTAGCTGTTAGCATGATGGTTCCTCCAAGTAATTCGAAGCTGTCCATGATGGTGTCTAGGGATCTTCCAATGATCCATGTTGCTCTTGCTGTGTTGCATATTTGCGCTAGTTCTGTTCGTGTTGTAATCCCTTCGCCTTTCACAGTGGGTAGTAGGTGCTGTCTGGGCCAGGGCGAGGCTTCGTCTTCTCTGAGTTTCCATGCCGCAGCAATGATCGGGTTGTCTGTGTGGGATTCTTCCCTATTCCTCCATGTGCTTAGGATGCCCTCGTATCTTGACAGGAGGTCGCATTCTGTGAGCATCTTCGCTGGTCTGTGAACTATAGTGAAGATGAATGTCAATATCTCTAGTTTCCACTGTTGTAGTGTGTGTGTGATGTCGTATTCGCCTTCAAAGAACTTGGTTAGTCCGCTGCAGTCCGTGATCCACGTAAATTCTTTTTCGATGAGCCATTGTCGGAACTTCTTCATCGCCCATCGACCTGTTACTGCTTCTCCCACAAAGGAATGGCAGTCTCGCTCTTTGCCCTTGCATATTCTCGATATGAATGCTATGGGTCTGAGTCTGAGTTTTGACATTGATTTGTCAAACTCGCATTTTCCTCCTTCGATCTCTTTCCTCATTGATTCCTCTGCTTCTTCTGTCGTGTCCGCTTGTGGGAGGACCGCTCCCATGGCGTTGCTTGACCAGTCCGTTTTCAAGTAGAATTGTCTCTTTGCATTGGGTCTCTTCAATACTGGGCCTGTGACAATACCTTGCTTGAGTTCGTCCAGCGTTTTGTCGTCCTGCGGCTCCCATTCTGCTTTCACTTGTTCCGCTTCCTCTTCTTTTGTGCATTCTCCGGGCTTTGGTTTGTCCATCATCATGGTCCTCCACCGTTGGATCTTTTCCTCTAGATGTGGTATCCATTGGAAGTACCATCCAAATAGTCCGTTGATCATCTGGATGTCCGAGTAGGATGCTAGTGGGCTTGTTCCATGGCCGCAAAGCTTCCAAAGGTGACGAATGATAGTGCCGGCTGGGTTGCGGCTCGTTTTGGTCTTTTCCTTGCTGCTGCTGTGGAAGTGTGGGTCATGACCGCTTCGACGGGATTCACCAACAGTTTTGTCCTCTCCTCCGATTCCGCCTGTGGATCCTCGATGGCTCGAACTGTGTCGCAGATTGCTTGGGTCATATATCCTCCTCCTCTATAATGGGAATTATTATTTCTAATTTGATTGCGTTCTTCGTTCTTTTGTTGTTTCCACTTGTCCAGTTTTTCATAGAACCGTTTTAGGACTTGGGAGTCCTCTTTGTGTGGGTACTCTTGGAAGTTGTGGCCTTCCTCATTGCATCCCCAACAATGGATCAGGTAAGGTTTGCTGTTTGCCTTTTGTAGTGCTTCTTCCGCTTGGCTGAGCATTGTCCACCCATTTGCTTCTTCATGCTGTTGTCCGAGTTCCTCCATAATGCTCATGCATGACAGCATGTTGACAACCGCTTCCGGGCAGTATAGTTTGCTGTCGGATGTCGGGACCACTAATTGTCTTCCTTGGCCGTTGGTGACTTGAACGTTTTGTTTTGCCGCCATAGTTGGAGGGGGCGTCATTGCGGTGTGGAAGGTTCCACGGTCTTGATCTCTGGAGCTTGGAAGGAGCGATCGTCCTGGAACCCTTGACATCCCCGGAATCCTTGGAATTCTGGTTGGTGGAATAAAACAAAGACTCTTCCTCCTGGTCTTGGTGGTGCAGATTGTCCTGGAATGTAGCTTCTGTTGGGTCTGATTTGTCCTGTGCTGTTTGCAATTCCCACAATTTGCTTGATTCGCTTCTTTTCTTTCTCTGCTCGTTCGCGTAGGCGGTGCATTCGAGACAGGTTGCTGGGGTAGTCCATAAGTAGTGGTCCTGCTGCTCCTGTCTCTAGGTGTTCAGCCACAACGTCCTTGATTTCTTGTGTGAAGGCTTGGAACGCTACTCCTGCCAAGTCTGATAGGTTGGTTGGCGGGGGATTCTCGTGGTTTAACCCATTTAGAATCGTGGCAATTCTGCCAAATAAAGTAGCCACGCTGTCGTACATCATCGTGCCTCCTTTGTATCGGATCATGTTGAGCTTTGCCAGTTGTTGGTTTGGCGTCTCCATTCCTTGTTGTAGTCCGACGTAGGTGGCCGTGAGTGCTTGTTCTAGCGCTTGGAATTGGGTCTTTGCAATCTGTTGCTTGGACCACTTTTCGTAGGCTTCGTTATCAGGTTCTCCGTCTCTGGTCGCGGCCCTCATCGAGAACTCTTCTCCCAATGCTGCCATTGCTGCGATGATTTCCTTGTGATGTGCTTGGTCCATTATCATTTGGCGAGTGATGGATACGTCCATCTGGTTCTGGACTCTTGGCACTGGAACGTAGACAGCTCTATTGGAAGATGGCGGGAACTTTGTTGGGTTGATTCCAATGTCAGTTCGTAGGGAACAGAGCCGTGGGACCAATCGGAGCTCGATTCTGAAGTATGTGGCGGCGGCTCTAAATGGGGCTGGAAGTCCTGGTCCCGGTCCTGTAGCGATCGCTTGTCCTGTGTTGTCGATGACGTGTAGGCTTGTGAATTTGTACACGTCACTAGTCACGTTGAACAATTTGCTGGTGGCGGTGATGACAAAGGAAAAGACGTAAAACCTTGTTGCCTGAAAATTAATTGAATTGTGTGCGAAAACATGCACGTAAACGATCGCTAGCATCGCCAACGTTCAATTTGGCGGACTAACCGTCGTTTCGTCTGTCTGCCTGACGTTAGAACAAATATGCGTACGTACTGCAAGAAGGGGTAATTTTCATAAATCGGGGCAAGGGGACAGACGGGGTGTCATCGCTTCTCAAGCGGGTTGCATGGCCAAACAAATTGTTATAAAACATAATGGTCATGTCACCTGCATGAAATGTAAAAAGCTCAACCCGAATTTGGATACGATTCAAAGCGGCTACGCAGGCACTGCATCCTCGTCGCCCGGTGATGTGGAATCTGGAATCCACGAATGCGCAATTCTATTTCTCCATGATGGAGAAAAAAAAACTTTATTTCTCCATGATGGAGAAAAAAACTTTCTATTTCTCCATTCGGAAGTTGGAGCCAAAAGGTTCATCAGGGGAAACAAAACATTGGGGGACCAACGGGTGGTTGCCAATATTTTTGCAGGATACGGTACAAACAAGCCTGCTCGCGATCAAATACAAGAGTTTGGTGCTATACTGTAGGAGCAGGGCGCCCCGACAACTACTTTCGCACAGCCACAAACAAAACTGTTTAGCGATGGAAGCTACAACAATCAACTAATAGTTACCTTGAAGGTGCTACTGATTCGTGATGGAGTATGAAGGCAGTGTGCGAGCCCAAGGTGGAAGTTGATCGGCAAGACAGGAGACGTATGGGCGTTTCTAGCTCTTCCTTAGTCTCAATTTCCGTCGTGTCAATTACGGCGCGTCACTTCAGTGAAGTACACGGTTGGCGGACGGAGCGAAGAGTGTCGACGAAGAGGACGGAAGATTGGAGAAGACATTGTTCGCAATGGGAGCTTGTGGGATGATGGAGGCGATAGAAGGAGTTTAGCTGCTCGGTCAAGACCGTCAGCTATTTTGTTTTTGCTTTTGCTTTCGTCTCCATCCCACCGCCTTTATCAAAATCCTCCGTCAAGGTCCTCTGTCAAGGTTACAAATCCTCCGTCGAGGTCCTCCGTCGAGGTTAACAAAATCCTCCGTCGAGGTCCTCCGTCGAGGTTCCAAATCCTCCGTTGAGGTCCTCCGTCGAGGTTAACATCAAATCCTCCGTCGAGGTCCTCCGTCGAGGTTCCAAATCCTCCGTCGAGGTCCTTCATCGAGGTTACAAAATCCTCCGTCGAGGTCCTCCGTCGAGGTTACAAATCCTCCGTCGAGGTCCTCCGTCGACGTCAACACCTAATCCTCCCTCGAAGTCTTCCGTCGAGATTCCCAAATCCTCCGTCGAGGTCCTCCGCTGCGGTTAACATCAAATTCCTCTGTCGAGGTCCTCTGTCGAGGTTATCTGACAATCCTCCGTTGAGGTCTACATATTGCCCCTCTAGCCGTAATATATTTCTATAAACAACTGTTTTCGCTCTCCGTGCTTAAGCCGTCTGTTTTACTAACTATTTTAAAGCCGAACTCGGATCCGAGCCTTTCTTGTCTTCTTCGTTCTCGGCCTCCCTTTTCCCTTTGCGACTCTCATCCTTTCCCTCCCCAAGCTGGATATCCCTTGCCTGAATATGTTTTTTTACATCTTCTAGTGTTTATATATTACAGTTCTATCATTACCCACTACCCCCCGAGAGCCTTTCGAGGGGCATTTCCTATCCAAAACAAAAACGTTTCCTTCCCAAATCGAAAACTTTTCTTCCCTTTATTCCCATTCACACTTCCATCTCCGACTTGCTGACACGCCACGTCGATGGAATTCCCTACACTGTAGTACAATCCATACCAACTTTCACACACTCGCAACAACATTTTCCTATTGCGTCCCTCCTCATAATTTCTGTTTTCAGAAATTTTACATCCAAATCGATTGACACCATCCGCAATGCGATTCCTTTCATTCTCTGCTATCAAGTCCCTCCCCACCGATGCGGACTCCGATGCCCTCTCGAAGAACGTTTTCCATGGCTCGTCCAGCATGCATGATCGTGCCACTGCCGTCACCTCGGCACTTGGTCTGATGTTCTTCGACCCTCAAGGAAAGCTCACGGTCGTTACCATCCCAAAAAAGGTTATCCTTGACAATGGAATGTCGGCCGGTATCTTCGCCTCCCTCCGAGACGACCTTACCCAAGCGATCCCCGTGACCATTGACCCCGACGAACTCTCCAAACGGGTGATCGGAGTGGGCAACAATGGCCGCGCCGTCTCGTGCTGCGTCCCTCTGCTGAAGGACACCCAGTACCACCCGAGCAACGCCAAGAACGCCAATGATGCAGACTTACCTGAAGACATCGACTTCACAGTCGAATCACCAACCTTCTGTGCAGTCTCAGTTTTCTGCCCACTTGTTCCAGGTAGCAAGATGCCACCGGATCTGGACCTTACCCAAGACGTCCCTGAAGAAGTTCTTCTTGTCCTTTCGCCTCACGAACGTCTATGGATCAAAGTTCATGCCTTTCTCTTCAAGAATACGATGGGAGGAAGCCTTTTTGTCGACGAGACACTCGTCGGCAAGACTTCTATCCCACTGGACCAGTTTATTGTCAACGAGCAGCCAGCTGCAATCTCCAAGAATACTCTCTCCACAGCATCTGGGTACGGGTTTCGCGACGCCCGGACCGGCTCTGAATCTTTTTACAAGTACATTACGAGCTTCAACAGTAAGGTCGATACGCTCTCCCGTCCAAGTATTCCTACAGGGGCTGCCCAACCAATCGACCACGCCAGTATCATCAAGGAGGCAATTTTGGCATCAAAGACCACGGCCACCAACGACGCGGCAACCGAAGCTCAAGAGCGAGTCCTCCTGTCCTGGCGAATACTCTTTGGCCATTTTATCACCCACCCGGATGGGAGTGTTGAATACGTACTGGCTGATTGTTCGCCCTCTTGGAAGACCATTTTGAAGGCAAAACCCCAACTTGCCCTTCGTTTCTTCCACAAAGCCTTCGAGCAGTCCATTAAAGGGCTCCAACCTACCCGCAATGCTTACCACGCTCTCTTCGACTGGGATGTCCATCGCATCCAGGCAGCTGGGATGGCGGCGATCCAAGGAGCCAGCTTTACCACCAGACCTCTGGTAATGAACCCATCCGATGCACTGTCCTGCTTCAGTCTCCTTCAGTTCCTCCCTTCCGACAGGACCGACAAGGACTTGGCCTCGCATATTAACGAAGATGAAGAAGCCTGTATGCAAGAAGACATGGGTGAGCATGTCACCAAAAGGGCCTCCAAGAAGACAAAATTGTACTCCAAGGGTCGCTGCGCCTCCATTGCCGACATCAAGAGCACCATCTCCAACGTCGCACAACTTGCTGACTTTGCAACCGAAAACTTCTCCATGTCCAACAACACACCCTTTTTGGTGGAACAGTTTGACACGGTTATGGTTGCTTTGTCCCGACCTGACGCCGTCCAGTGGCAGCATGTGATCGACCTCACGGGTGTCGCTGTCCACATCCTCCATGACCTCCAAACCGTTTTCCAGGTCATTGCCTCTGAGGCCAAGGACTTCACTCTCCACGCCGAAGCACGACCACTGGGCACCATTCAACGTGCTGAACTCTTCTCTGGCGCAAGAGCCCAGACACAGCTCCTGCTGGACAAGATTGACGAAGGACTACGAAATTGTCGCCGCCCCAACTACCCCAGGACATCCGCCCTGAGTGCCCTGATTTCTTCCACCGAGGCCCCCGACGCTTCGTCTTCTGGCAAACGGTCCTCCAAGTCACCATCCTCCAAGCAAGATACAGTCGCTTCACCTGCAAAAAAGCCAAAGCCTAGCAACGAGGAAAGCAACACCAGGGGCATGCTAATCTGCACCTCCACCGGACGGCCACCGATGCCAGACCAAAAGTGGAAAGTCAACGGTGTAGAGAAGACCGCCTGCGTCAACTTCCTCTTCCGGAACTTCCACTGCACGAATACTCGTTGCCCTTTGCTCCATCTCCATAAGCGAGTGTACCAATCTCGCCCTGCTAGCGAACAGGAGTCCTTCAAGACTTGGGTCCAATCGACTCCAAACGTCAAATGGGCTCCTGGGCAGGAACCACGTGCCGGTTAGTTTTTCTTTTACTTAAGTACCTCTCTTTCTTATCACAACTTTGCTTTCCACTTACGTCCTAGTTCCTTTCCTTCTCTCCCATGATTGATTGTTGTTGCCCCACCAAGTGGCGGCCGCATCAGTAAGCACTCTTACCCGACAGGTCCACTACTACGCGTCTCGGTCGGCACCAATGCCACATTGCATTGATCCACAGGACGAGTGTGCTCTCCAGGACTATCCCCCAACTCAACAATTTTCGACGAGCTCGACCCTGCGGACATGCTTGTTGCGGAACAATTCCGCCATATTCTGGAACAGGGCGCAAGGGTAACACCTACTTTTACTCGGTCGGAACAATCCCAAATTCTTCGGGATCTCCCGAGTCGAACTGCCCTCGCTGTGGAGTCACCATACGGTAAGGACAGTAATGACCGATGCTTCAAGACGGAAAGTACATTTTGCCATACCTTTGTTTTTCTCTACAAGAGCGGCTACTTGGACAAAACGACCGGCGATCGCTTGGGCAAGGCTTTCTCCGGAGCTTTACTTCGGCCACTTCGTTCCGTCCTTCCTTTGGATACACCAATGGGCCAAGTCATGCACAGTTGAAGCCGGATGTTCACCGCCTGTTTGTTACATTACAACTTGGATGTAGCTACTGCCGTTCGCTACGTTGGGAACATACATACAGGGGCCCATCGTGATTGGAACACTTTAGAACCAGAGCTACGTGCGGCATCAGTCGATGATGGTCTGGTTGCAAATTTACGGCGCGTGCTCGTTGGCGGTTGTCCGAATTATGTCAATGCCACGTCGTCCGAGAAGAATCGGCGATCCTTCGCTGAATATGGAAATCACGACTCGGTTTATACCAATGTCGAAAAAACACAGAAAGCAGTCCAGAAGGATTTCGCCCGATCCCACAGCCTTGTTGGCAACCCTCTGTTGACGCCTTTCCTACCAGATACACAGCAGACCCCGCAAGGCCTGGTGGTTGTCCCAGGAAAGAGCGATCGTCAAATCTGTGATGGCACTTTTTGTCCTTTGCTCGAGTCTATCGCTACCAACGATATGACAACCAAAGATACGGAGCACAAGGTCAAATTTCCGAAATCGCTTCGGAACCACCTGGCATATATCTACAATGCTCGGATCAGCTACAAATCTGAGGAACTTTACCTCGGTGACAACGACGTCTCGGGCGCCTTTCGCCACGGCAAATGGAACCCAAATGTGATTGGTATGCATATGTTTTCTATTTTCGGTTACCTGTTTTTCTGCACTGGTCTGACATTCGGTGGCAATACCTGTCCGTCGAATTTCGAGATTATAGCCTTAAGCCGTATGGCTATTGCACGCTTCCTCTGGTCACAGGCTTCTACAATTGCTAGGGTTCTACAATACCTTCCGGCGATATCGACATCACCGGAACCAACACCTGACGAGATCGCACAGTTCACCCCAGCGGAAGCCGACTCCATCAACAAAGGTGTCTTCAACCCGGACGGATCTCGGATCCCACCCAATTTTGACCACCATGTGGATGATTGTCTTTATGTTGATGTCGCAAAGACACTGAGACAAACAATAGCCTCCAGTGTTCTGGCTCTTTACTTGATCCTTGGTTTCCCAGATGCCTCAAAAGGGATTTGAGATTGCGTGTCTTGGGAAAAGTTCACCACTACTTTTTCCCATCGTCGACACTGCCTTGGTTGGTTGATTGATTCCCGCGCCCTTACGGTGAGCCTCCCATCTGAGAAACGAGATCGTATCATCCAACGGCTCCGGACATTTCTACGGAAACATCGTCTAACCCTTCAAGAAATCGCAGAACTCCTTGGTCTGCTTTCGAACGCCACTACAGTTTGCCGCCATATGCGCTGTTCCTACTTCAATTTGCAACGCCTTCTTCGTATGATCCTCGTTCATCGGTACCGCACCCTCATCGGCTACCACAGACGGAAGGACTGGGAACTTAAGATTGCCTCTCGCCTGTCTTCCACCTTTATCCACCGCATGGATGGGATCCTGAGCCGTAAGATGGCTAACGTTCTTTGGGGCTCCAAGCAATCCTACAAGCTGGGTCCGGCTGCAATTCGAGAGGTCAAGGCAATTATCCACAGCCTACGAACTGAGGAATGGAAGATTTTTATTCCCCAGATGATCCCTCGCGACCACCATTTCGAGTCCTTTGGCGATGCTAGTTTTATTGGGGGCGGCGCTTATTCTACGTCCCTGGACTACTGGTTTCGTGTTGTTTGGAGTAAACAAATTGTGGCGGGTACTAAGTTAAAGCCCTCCGACGCATCATACATCCACATCAATGTGTTGGAGTGCCTCGTTTCCTTCCTGCAGGCAGTGGCCCTTGTCGTGACCATGGAGTCTTCCGCGCTCTCTGATCCCATACATGATTTGTTCCCACATGGTATTCCGGCGTTCCCGGTCCTTCGTTGTCGTACGGACAACACTGCGACGGTGTCTTGGATCAATGACACACGGACCACCAGTACGTTGGCTCAGGCCTTGGTTGCGCTCTACGGTCAGCTCTTGAAGAGATCTACCTTGGTTTGCCACACGGTGCACATCCCTGGCGATGACAATGTCCTCGCTGATTGGCTTTCTCGCCCCGACTCTCTCTCACATGAACGCCTTTTTCTGCAGACATCACAGAAGTATCCTTGGATGAACGCCTTGCGCAATTTCCAGCCCAGTGCCGAACTCATCTCCGTTCTCAGATCCGCGCTGTTATGCAGCTCGAGTCCGGTCCCACCAAATCTACCAGAGTCCTTGGGACAATTCGTTCCCACCGCATCCATTTCCTCCGCTTTCTGCGTCGTAGAAATTGGCCGCCGATGGATCTACTTTTGGAGTCCGTCTCACATGACGCCCGTACACACCTTCTTGCTGCTTTTGCAGTCGACTTGGCGGTGGGCAATACCGTCAAGGGTAAGCCCATCAAAGCAGCGACCATTGGCAACTACCTTCGAGATACAGCTACCCTTCTTGAAAACTTCTGTGGTCGAGATCCCCGCTACACTAATCGCTCTGACAATGAGTTGGCGCTTCCCCTCCGCGCTGTTCTGAACGAATGCAAGCGTCATAAGAATATGCCTCATCGAGTCGACCCCTATACAATTGAGATGCATACCACCTTGGTGGCTCTGAATAGCGCTACAACCGCACATTTGGATGGTTTACACCGTGCTATGGAAGATTGGTTTAACCTGAGTACCTATTTAGGTTTTCGCCTTCGCGAATGGGCCCAGGAGGATGATTACCGTCGCCTGGCTTCCGGTGGCAAGATTGCCCCAAACGGTACGAAACGCGCTTTCACTCTCGATGACATTCGTTTGTTCGACTCGGGAAACCGTCCTGTTTCGATTGCTGAGTTTATCGAGAATTTTGATGCCGTGGCCCGCTCCAATGTCAAGTTCTCTTGGCAAAAGAACCATGATCACGGTGAGGAAAAACTGCTTTCCAGCAATCCTCGTAACCCTACCCGTGACGCTCTGCGGAGTCTCCATAACATTGTCAGCCAATTTGCACGGATTGTCGGTCTGGATAAGATCGATATCCCACTTGCAGTGTACAAAGGATCCTTTGGTGAAAAGTTTTTCATCCACAGCAAAGTCATTGCTTCCACCCTTCGGACCTTGGCCAAGAAGACTTACAACCTGACTGATCGCGATCTTCAGCAACATTACAAATATACGTCCCACTCTCTTTGAGCTGGGGCGGCAGTGATCCTTCACGCAGCGGGTATCAACGCTATCCAGATCAAATTTCTCTTGCGCTGGCGCTCTGATTCTTTTTTCCTTTACCTTCGCAATGTCGCACACCTTTTGGAGCAACAAAACCGGGCAATTAACCAAATTGCCTCGGCTACTCAGTCTGAAGTGACTGCAGCTCGCGCTGCTTCTCGACTCATACCAAACATTGTTTAGATACACAATCCCATCTACTACTCTCCTCCTATTCTCCTTTCTTCCTTCCTCCTCCCTTCTCCGTTTTTCCCTTTCCACTTTGTCTTTCTCCCTTTCTTTCCTTTCCCTCCTTTCGCCTGCTTTCTCGGGCACTTCCCTTCCTCCACCTCTATTCTTTCCCTTATGATCGAACGCCCAGCTTTCGATCCTTGGAACTTTCTTTTCGTTTTTCAATTTTCTTTTTCTTTCTTTTGTTTTTTTGCAATTTTGATTTTTGATTTTATTTTTTTAATTTTCCCACGCCTGCGCTCGCATGTTTGTGGCCTTTGTCTTCCGCTTTCCCGGAAAGCGATCGCACCCGTAGTTTGGTGGCTCTCTCATTTGCACCATAGCTCGGTACCCCATTTGGTCCGGGTCTGTCTGTCAATCCTATTGATTGTCCCTTTTCGAATCCTATGATTCGACCTCGGTGCAAACCAGTCACTAACTTAGTACCTCGCTACTGTGCCAAACCTACTCGCTTCTCGTATGTAGCATCAGGCTTTTGCCACAGTTTCCATGGTAGCATACGTGCGCGATCTCTCCAGACAAAGACTACATCATGCGATTCAAGCCCAGGAGTGGAGGCGGCGCCGGGTAATCTTCGATTATTGATCGGCAAGACGGGAGACGTATGGGCGTTTCTAGCTCTTCCTTAGTCTCAATTTCCGTCGTGTCGATTACGGCGCGTCGCTTCAGTGAAGTACACGGTTGGCGGACAGAGCGAGGAGTGTCGACGAAGAGGAGGGAAGATTGGAGAAGACATTGTTCGCAATGGGAGCTTGTGGGATGATGGAGGCGATAGAAGGAGTTTAGCTGCTCGGTCAAGACCGTCAGCTTTTTTGTTTTCCTATGATTCGACCTCGGTGCAAACCAGTCACTAACTTAGTACCTCACTACTGTGCCAAACCTACTCGCTTCTCGTATGTAGCATCAGGCTTTTGCCACAGTTTCCATGGTAGCATACGTGCGCGATCTCTCCAGACAAAGACTACATCATGCGATTCAAGCCCAGGAGTGGAGGCGGCGCCGGGTAATCTTCGATTAAAGACTTTTTCCGAAATGTCAATTTTCATTATGATTGATTACGTTTGGGGAAGACTTGGGGGTGTCGTTTCTCCACCGGAAGCTGTTTTCTCCACCGGAAGCTGTTTTCTCCACCGTGGAGGGAAAAAAAATCTATTTCTCCACCGTGGAGAAAAAATAATTATATTTCTCCACCGGAAGCTAATATGGCAACAAAGGTTGCTGACGATCGCTAGGTATATTGGCGGGCGTGTTTTCGCGAGGTCTATTTTGGCAAATAGCATAGCGAGAACTTAACGGCTGGACGAGCATTCCAAGCGGGAATCGACTAGAGATCCCGCTCACAGAAGTAGCCCCGTCCGTCCGGATATCACAAATTATCTGAAAATTACCCCGTCTTGCTGTACTTATGAACAAACCGACTTTTTCCAAAAATGACAAGATTCACAAGAAAACAGGATTCTACACCAATACCAGACTGCAGCTACCCCGCTGTTACTTGCTGGGTGAACCAAGCTGGTTTTTGCAAGCGCTGTCATGAAATACAATCAGATATACCAATGGTGTCTAGTCGCATCGATCGTGCTTTGTTTGATGAACAGCAACTTCATTTCACAGTTGTCTTGTATCGATCAAATTAATCCATTGGAGACAGAAACCGGGCCGTCTCCTGAAAAAGCAGAAATGAATGATCTGTGGTTGGGTGGAGCTACGGATGGAAAATACACTGGTCCAATTCGAATTGTCCTCAGTTATTGCAAGGGGGACCTAGCCTGGTTGAGCGCGTTCATTCTCGGATTTGGTGTTCAAAGCATCACCGTGGTTTCGAAATGCGGCGTTTCACCACCAACCAACCTACCAATCAAGGACAAAGAATTTATCGACCTACCAAATGCCGGGCGTAACGATCATACAATCGCCTATTCGATGGCGAAGATATCTGCAGAGGAATCTGACGATGATGCTATCGTTCTTTTCTTGAAGGATAACATTGTTGTACATCAAAAGGCCAACCCACGTAGCCTTTATGAACTACTTCGCATCACCGCAAAGAAGGGTTTTGGCTGCTTTCAAGAGCTGAGAAAAGGCATGTCGTTTTACCACCAGACCGATGTTTTGAAAATTTTGAACATGACAAAGTATGGAGGCGTTCCTCACTCGACATCAGATGGACGAAGAGTATGGAATGACAGCAAAGGATTTAAATCACCTTTCAAAAACTTGGGACAATGGCTAGAGTCTCTTGATATCTCCTTGCCGTCGCCACTAACTCCAGTATGCTACGGGGGGATATTTGCTGCAAAGCAGACAAAAATAAAGTCTATACCGAAAGTAAAATGGGAAGCCATTGCGAAAAGTCTATCAAGAGGGGACAACATCGAAGAGGGCCACTTTGCTGAGCGCACTTGGGCAGGCTTGCTTTCAGCCCCTCTGTCGGAAGAGGAACAGTGGTCGATTATAGGAAAGAGCAGCTATGTCAATCGGGTGGCGGCCAAAGATGGCGGAGGACGATTAGGCGCATTAGTGAAATAACGAATGATCTCGGTGATGACTTGACTGGTATGAGCCAGGGATTGATTCGAGGCGCAAACATTTGCTGGTGGCATGTCCAATTTGATGAATTTTTCGATTCAATAAAGGGCAATTACAAGCTAAATCATCATCCAGGTAAAGACGATTTGCATCAGATTTGGGTCGTCGTGAGAATGGCCATTTGACGTTGCAACTCGATTCTCTGACATGAGGTGGTTGCGGCAGAAACCAATCGGCATTTTTACCAAGAGCAAAAAATGTGATTGAAGATGATTCAGGCCAAACATTATGGACAATCAATCAGTGAAAGATCCAAGCACAAGAGGCTCCACCAGGTTTCACTACAGCACACGTATGCAAGCACCCGGCTGATGGCTCCGTTGATTAATTCCATTTTGTTTTGGTATGTGACCTCGTTGCCTGTGCTCGAGTGGATAACATCGCATGCCTGGAACGTATTCTCATTGGTATTTTGATAATAATCATGACGAACCCAGGCTATCTTTTTGTTTTTGCCACGAGGGCCCCAATTTCACCTCCTCGAAAGTTGACATAGTGTGACCTATTGCTTATTGCTTCTTCCAACATTTTCGAAAGAGGAGCGGACAAAATGCCTGCCCATGCTCGTTCTGCAAAATGACCTTCTTCAATGTTATTGCCCCGAGATAGACTCTTGCCAATTGCAGACCACGTTTCACTTGGAAGATTTGCAATTTGAGACAGCTTCACGGCAAACGAGCCACCGTAGCATACCGGCGTGAATCGAGATGGCAAAGTAACTTTCATCGCATCAAGCCATTCACTCATATTGGCGTAGATTGACTCAAAGCCAGTGTTATCAAAAGCAGCTTCTTTGCTCCTATATTTTTTCAATTTGAATGACTTCAATGCAGATGTATCATGAAAGTGCGAGAATCCTCTTGCAGGTTTTTGGAAACATGAAAAGCCTTTCATTTCTGCGAGGTGGAGCATTTCATTAAGACATCGGGATGAAGGCTTAGATTTCTTTCTGTGAATTGAAATGTTGTCTTTAAGGAAAACGTATACATCACAGGAGGGACTGCTTCCTTTACTGCTCGTAATATTGGACAAAGCCATGGCTACGGATTTGTCATTACCCCCCACATTTTGTGCTTCAATAATTTCTGCTTTTTTTCTCCAATTTCCGGTGGGAGCTGGATTGCTACATTTTGAAACCAAGGTTACTTTGTGAATTTCATACCCTGCAATGAAACCATCCAGCCAACCCAAGTCTCCCTGACAGTAGCTAATCACGATACCGACCTTTTTGTCCGGTGGTTTAGCTTCGCTCACATCCCCAACCCAGAGGTCTTCCAGATTTGTGACGACTTTGCTTTGTGGATGGAGATCGACAACAAGGGTGCGATCAAATTTCGAGTCTTCTGGATTCGAACATGTGAACTGATGATGTACAAGGAGAAATACCGAAATCGTAGTAAAGAGTACTACGAACAAAAATCGCGTTTCAAGAGTCATACTGTAGATCCTTACAAACGACAGGATACAATTTTCAATTTGGGAGCAGCTTTGACAAGAGATGGTAATTTGATTCTACAGGAGCGGCCTGAAATGGCAGGCTTGCTGGCAATTTCCTCAGAGATGTCGTGGAGGTTGTCTAGCGGAGATGACAGAGATGACATGCCGGTGACAAACTCTGCGCAATGCAAAGCTTGGGCTTCGTTGAAACAAAGCTTGGGCTTCGTTGAAACTCTATCCTTGGTTGAAAACGAGCCTGCCGAAACATTCATTTCCATTCGTGGAGGCTTCGTCCAAATGGACGAACTTCGTCGGACACCTTCGTCCAATGGACGAACTTCGTCGGACCGACGAAACCTCTATAATTAAAAAACCAGCCAATATTATTTTTAAACCTCTTGATCGGATGAATCCTACATCCAGTCGTCCAATTCGTGCGTGTGAGGCTGGATCATGTTCCAAAGATACTGTAGCTGCACTCAATCAACGACTAGTGAATCTCCCGATCTAACTCCTTTATTGTCTGTAGAGTGCAATTTGGCCCGCCAAAGACATCTCTGGCAACTTTGGCATGCTGTGGACATGCCATATATAACTGATTATTTTGCTTTGAGCCTGTACTTGAAATGGTCGACTATTTTTGTCCAAATGGACGAAGGCTCAACGGTTCGGAAGCAGATCAAAAAGGGCACGCACGCCCAGTAATTTTGAGAACAAACAAGCGCCAGTCGGCCAATGTGGATCAAACATTAAAGACTATGCTATTCCCATCATTCTGTCCGAACGACATCCTCGAAAAGCAGACTCGGCGCGACTTGGTCCAGTTACAAGCCGCTCCAGTACCAGGTGGTACTGGAGCGGCCTGAAATGGCAGGCTTGCTGGCAATGTCCTCAGAGATGTCGTGGAGGTTGTCTAGCGGAGATGACAGAGATGACATGCTGGTGAAAAACTCTGCGCAGTGCAAAGCTTGGGCTTTGTTGAAAACGAGCCTGCCGAAACATTCATTTCCATTTGTGGAGGCTTCATCCAAATGGACGAACTTCGTTGGACACCTTCGTCCAATGGACGAAGTTCGTCGGACCGACGAAACTTCTATAATTTAAAAACTAGCCAATATTATTTTTAAACCTCTTGATCGGATGAATCCTACATCCAGTCGTCCAATTCATGCGTGTGAGGCTGGATCATGATCCAAAGATACTGTAGCTGCCGTAATGTGACTGACTGGACTGCCGAGTCCCGAGCAGATGTATTAGAGCGATCGAAGGCCAACGGTCATCGCCGAATATTCAGCCCAAGATCAATCTTTCATCATCTACTCACAGCTGCTTCAGACCCCCGTAAATACACCCCAATAGCAATATCAAT